GACCATTTCCCCCCTGCTCGGTTCATGACCCAACTGTGCAGCGCCTTGGGACGTCCTCCTGACGTGAAAGGCGCTTTATAAATGGAATCTTGTTGTTGTTGTTGTTATATCTATGTGCGTGTCATTGCTTTGCGTAAATGGGCTGCCATGTTCAGCTACAAATGAACAGTCACTGCACTTTACAGTAAATCCTGTGAAGTACTTTGAGAGATCTTCCTGATGTGAAAAGTGCTATATCAAATGCAAGGATTATTATTTCTCATATGCCAAGGACTCAAACTCAGTCATCCCATCAGAGCACATTGTTGAGTGGACACTATTTTGCCTCTATGAAGATGGACGAAAATTAATGCAGTGATGATTAAGTTCCACATGCCTAAACACATAACAGATATGGAGTGGCAGGAATAGATGCTTTGCATCAGGTTCTCTCCTCATCTTCTAAGCAAGGCAGTGGTTCATGATCCTACAACAAGACCAATTTACATTTATATAGTACAATTCACGTCAGAAGGACATCTTGAAATGCTTCAAACAGCTTTGAGCCTGAGCTGGGGTGGAGAGAGGAAGGTAGCTGGTTAAAGAGATAGGCAGATTTTGAAGGTGGGGAGGAAGGTGACGAGGTGGAGGGCGTCTGGGATGTAGTTTCAGAGAGCTGGGCAGAATGGCTAAAAGCTCACCCACTGATAGTGGGACAGATCAGCTGGATCAGTTTCCAGAGGCAGAGGAAGCAGCTAGGGAAGCAGGGCCAACAACAGCAACTTGCATTTATATAGCAGCCTTCACACGGGATGGCGTCCCAGAGTGCTTAAAGTATCACAGGATTATCACAGAGATGGGTTGAGGCTGGGATGTGGCTGAGACTGTGAAGGGATTTGAAATTGAGGTTGAAGATCTTGAATTAGATTCACTGGGGGAATGGGGAGCTGGTGGGGTTCAGTGAGGATGGAAGTGATAGGCTCACAGAACCTGATACGGGAGAGAACTATTTTTAGGGAGTTCAAATATTTTAAGAAAAGTAACATCTATCTTCTGCCTGCCTGCCTATCTCTCTTTCTCTCTCTATACTAATAAAACGACAATGGCTGTCTGTGCTTCAAGAAGGATCTCAATAACTGATTGGAATAGAGACATGATTTATACCTCATCAGAAAGGTTGTGCCTCTGGGAGTGACATGGGCATATTTGTTTTTGAGTATCTCCTATTTTAATGAGTTATTTTCAGTTTATGTGTTTTTCACTGCAGTTACACCTTGTGGCCACCAAGTCAAAGTGAAGCTGTGGCATTGTGCGGTACAGAGCATCTATGTGTGTACGCATACACTGAAGGTACACCCGGTGGCCACGCCGGCTGCCTGTGGCGCTGTGGCATCCTGCAACACAGAGCATGCACGTAGCCAGGTGGCGGGAGCAAAACAACAACAACAAAATTACATTTGTTTAGTGCCTTTCACATCGGGAGGACGTCCCAAGGTGCTGGACAATCAGTGTCGGGATTGGGGAGGGTGGATGGCAGGGTGGGGGGGAGGAGGGTGACCGAAGGCACGGTTGAAGAGGAATCTTGAGATGGGTCTTGAAGGAGGCAAGGGAGGCGTGAGGCGGAGGGACTGCGGGATGGAGTTCCAGAGGGTGTGGGCAGAGTATCAGAAGGCCCTCCCACCAATGGTAGGGCGGGCAAGGCGGGGGATGTGAAGCAGGCCTGAGCCCGCTGATCGAAGGAAGGATGGTGCACACTCCACCAAAATAAAGGACACGGCAACAGCAACAAAATTTATTTTTTAAAGCACTGAGTCCTCCCACAGGAGTCCTCCCAAATGAGTCTTGATAAAAATGAAATGTGTGTCAATCTACATTCCAACATCTACATCATAATAATCCCTCCAAAAAAAAACAATAATAAATTGGTCATTTTCAATCCACGACTGTTTGTGGGACACTGCTGTGCACAATTGGCTGCCGCGCTTCACCCACAAATATACAGTCAATTCACTTTACAGTGTATTCTGTGAAGCGCTTTGAGACTTCTAGAAGACATGAACAGCGCTACATCAAATACAAGGATTATTCCATATTTGATCCTTTAGTTGCAAGTGAAGCTGCAACGGGTACAGCTAGTTCATATATAATTTGGCCGTGTTATTGGTGTGGCTGATCCATCACTGAAAAACATTTAGAAATTGCCTCTACAGAGTGAGTTAAACTGTAATCACATAATCATCATCATAATAACTTTAATTATAGTAATCCTTGCATTTGATACAGCACATTTGAAATTGAGAAAAGCACTTCACAGGATTTACTCTAAAGTGTAGTGACTATGCATTTCATAGGTGAATGTGGCAGTGAATTTCACACAGAAATGTGCCATAAAGGGCCATGAAGTGAATGACCAATTTTATCTGGAGGACAGTGACCATGACATTATAGGAGAGAGTCTCTCTATTGAACATAAAGCACCATCTCAAGTAAATAGATAAACAGGGGCAATTTAAGATTAGACCTGAATGGGTTTATTAATGACTGCAGCAACCTATGTATTTTCCTTCATTTAGGAAACAGAGGTTTGGAGATGGGAGACTCTCTAATTTATTTGACTAAATCTGGGTCAATTCAGTCCCTTTGAGCCACCTGAAACAAATCTACAAGTCAAGTGAGTTAAAAAGTCCCCCCAATCAGCATTGTCTGTGATAATAAATGTAGCTTAACTCTGAACAGGCCTAAATGCTGCACTAATGTAAAAATGTGCACTCAACCAACTGGGACAAAATCAATTCCAATCCAGTTCATCAGGTCCGTTTTGGCACAGATCCAAAGATGATCCTTCCTTCTGTTAGGACACACTGTAACAGCATTAACCAAGCTCAGTGTAAAATCAACAGAGAAAAAGAAATGTGATGTTTCTCTTTGATTTCACCCCGCAGTTTCAAATCAGGCTGAAGGGGTATAAGGTCATAATTATATGAGTTTCTGCTAAATTCCATTAGCATCAAGTCCATGTGATGCTCCAGAAATTATGCAGCAGGTGAAAAGGAGAACCTTTCATTCTGTCTCATTAGTAGCAGCACGGCAGGGAGAGCTGGCTAGGGAAACACTTAGCCAGTTAGCTCAGCGAGGTACTGTTCGCCTTTCACTGCCCTGTCAGCTGTAATCTTATGATGATGGTTATCTTATAGAGGAGGCACTTCTCCTAACCCCCTTCCTGCTAAAAGCCTCAGCTTCTTACTGCAATTATTACTAAAGCGTAGTATAAACCTCTGGCTCGCTCTACAACTAAATCATTTAGACAAAGCAAAATACCATCCATTGAAACAAAAACATGCGTTAAGTGCAAATAAAAATGGCAAAACAAATTACCCATTTTAGAATATCACTTCAACCTCAGTTACACAAGATTATTGTGCCATAAGACATTTGGGGATTATAAAGAATAATGTATAAACGCCACCGGATATACATACAGATTGAATGATGTTCATTTTTAGTTATTTTGAAATGAAATATATCAATATGTCAGCCCTGGGTAGTTCTCGTCAACTGATAAATGAAAAATCTTTTTACGACAGACACATCTCACCTACATGGGTTGATGATGGGCTTTCCAATGCACTAATGCTGCACACAGCAAATATGGTCCTTTTAAAGCTGAATAAATTTGAGTATCCAACATTTCATTCTTGCTGTCAGTAACTGGTCGTGCTGCTTGAACTCTACAGCCATGCACCGCCTGGTAGATGAATATTAAACTGAATTAAATACATTTCGACTGTGCTTCCTACCTTCACTAAGTAGGCTGCCGCACTAACCTGAAAAATACTGTCATGCAGTATAACCTGTGAAGCGTTTTGAGACAGCCTCCTGACGTAAAAGGCATTTTATCAGATTTAAGGATTATGATTTTATGATTGCTGCTCCCTCTGACATGGACACACCTTATGGTTAATGTGTCTTCAGAAGAGTTCCTGCATATGGAAATAAGTGGGGGGGGGGAGGTGGGGGCAAGAGGGGAGGGAGCCGAGGGATGGGGTGGGGGGTTTGGGAGGAATACCACTCAATTTGTGAAATCCAGCCCAAAAATACTAGTAGTGCTGCCTCCTAAAAACGGATTGGTCTGTTTTTGGCCAGTTTGACAGTACAGGCAAGCACCGGCTCCACATATCCAATATGTAATGTTGTATTGTATTGTTTCGGATACTTCATGCCAGTTGGTCCCACTGTTTGACAACCAGATCAATTTGCAATCTGGCATCTATTGCTGAATAAGAGGCAGAAAATATTAACTTGGTAAATCAGCTGAAAAAATGCCAGCATCCTTTCAGTGAAACAGCTGTTTTGTTTGCTAGCGATCCTGCTTACCCACCATGACTTACCAAAGCTGGTACAGTGACAGATAGAGTGACCTTGCTTTAATGTCTCATCCGAAGGACGGCACCTCCGACAATACAATCGCTCCCCACCCCCAGCACTGCATTGGCGTATCAGCCTTGACTATGAGCTCAAGTCTCGACACATCAGCGCCTTGGGACGACCTCCCGACGTGAAAGGCGCTCTATAAATGGAATCTTGTTGTTGACACGGGGCTTGAACCCCCAACTTTCTGACTCAGAGGTGAGAGTGCCAGCAACTGAGGTGGATGCTTACTATTCAAAAAGAAAAGGGAGTTTCTCCGATGTCCCTGGTTAACAATCTCCCAGGTAAAATTGGGCATTCACTTAATGATTGTTTGTAGGACATTGTTGTGAGCAAACTGGTTGCTTCATACATCTGCAAAATACACAGTCATTCCACTTAACAATAAATCCTGTGAAGCTCTTCGGGATGTCCTTTCAATATGAAAGGCGCTATATCAAATGCAAGGATTATTACAACAACAAGCAACAACAAAATTACATTTATAGAGGGCCTTTCACGTCGGGAGGATGTCCCAAAGCGCTGCTCTCATGCTCTCTCCCTCCCCACTGTAATAAAACATCTCGAGCGACACAAGTAAATTCCCATCTTACCTGCAAAAATTGTTGTTTAAAATCTACAGCTCTTTCACTTGGTACAAGGTGGTAATAAACTGAGTTGTACCATAACAAAGTTGTCCTCTTCAGTGAGTATAATTAACTAGTCAGCATTATCCAATATCTTCCTCTGCCGTTGTAAACGTTCCTTGACCTTTCCAGTGTTGCCAAGTACATCTATTCTTTGACCTGACAGTGCTTTATGAGATATTAGAGTGACTCAGTCATTCCATTTGAGTTCACAGAAACCTTTTCAACTACTCAATAGTACCATTTAATAAAAATGTCAGTGACAGTCAGAAAGATTCTGACGAATGTTTGTTTTTGTAGTTAATTTCAATTACATTTTTTAATTTCAATTACTAGAATGTGAGATACTGCCAGCGCACCCAAAGGATTTCGCTCAAGGAAAAGAGGGTGCAGAGCTATGGCCTGATGTCACTGTTTATAATTGGCTAACATCACGCACTGTGCAGCGTGCTGGGACACACTCATCTCAGAGTGGCCAGGGCCAAACCAGGCATGCCCAACTCAGGTGGGTTCACGGAACATAGAAATGGTGAAGGAACAGTTTTTTTATAAAGAGCATATTCCTATTTTACTTCCTCAACGATTCCTTGGATTTCAGAATACAGCTTCCGCATATGTGTTTTGTAAATGAGAGAACTTTAATTAAACCACACATACACTACCATGGTCATAATCACGCGGGAGGCTGATTTTTCTGGTTAGGTATTTTAGTGTTGGGGGTTGGTAAATACCAGACCTTCTAATATGGATGTTTTGTAAATGGTATCAATAGTAAATATGATAATATTCTCACATGCTATGTAATTATAGCAACAAAACAAAATTTCTCTGAAATCAGATACCATTTAACCCTGCCCCCTAACTATATATAGAGTATTAGAGGGCTGGACAAATAGTAGTTCAAAGATGCACTCCTTTTTTTTAAAGAGCAAAACTAGAGACTAAACAACGGTCTCAAACTCATTGGCAGTTACTTGTCATTTATTCAGTGTAATCCAAAAATTTGATGTAGCTTTGGGAGGATGTCTCAGAGCACTTCACGGGACATAATGGAAAGTGGAATGACTGTGTATTTTTTGTAAGAAAATGTGAAACAGCAGTGTCAGGCTGGCTCAGGAGTCAGAAGTCAGAAGGTTGTGGGTTCAAGCCCTACAGTGGGATTCATATAATCTATGCTGACACTCCAGTGGAGTGTTGTTGGAGGTGCTGAACTTCAGATACGTCGTTAAACTGAGGTCCCATCTGGCTGTTCAGGAGAACATCAACAACAACGACTTGCATTTATATAGATGCTGTCACTGGGACACAGGGAGAAACTCCCTTCTCTTTTTGAATAGTGCCTTGGGATATCTGATATCTATGTGATATCAGAGTGACTCAGTCATTCCATTTGAGTTACAGAAACCTTTTCAACTGCTCAATAGTACCATCTAATGAAAATTAATGTCAGTGACATCCAGGAAAATTCTGACCCATGTTTGATTTTGTAGTTAATTTCAATTTAATTTAAATTTCTACCATGGGAGATATTGCCAGGGCATCCAAAGGGTCCTACTTAACCAACCAACTCCATTTCATCTCGGCAAATGATTTTTCCTCCCGTCCCCGCCCGGACACCTGAAGGGAACCCCAGAGGTCCATCCTTGGCCCTCTTCTTTTCCTTATCTATATGCTCCCTCTGGGTGATGTCATCAGCAGACACGGGGTAAACTTCCACATGTATGCGGATGACACACAAATCTACTTTGCCTCCTCCAGTACCAACACCAGGTTCGCCGATGTTCTATCAGCTTGTCTGGCAGACATCAGGGCCTGGATGAGTGCAAACTTCCTGCAGCTAAATGTGGACAAAACGGAAACCACACTCCTTGGTTCCCGTCAATGCCTTCACTCCTGCAGATCTGAACTCCTTCAGACTCACCGAACCAGTGCGCAATCTCGGCATCCGGTTAGACCCTCAGCTGTCCTTCCTCCCCCACATCTCGTCCACGACCAGAACCACCTTCTTCCACCTCCGCCACATTGCCTGCCTCCGACAGTACCTTACCCCAAATGCAGCCAAAACCCTTGTGCATATGTTTGTCACCTCCCGCTTGGATTACTCAAACACACTTCTCACCGGTCTCCCCAGCTCCACTATTCAAAAGATCCAGCTCATTCAGAACTATGACTCCCACATACTGGCCCGGACCAAACTCCATACCTACATCTCACCAGTTCTGGCCAGGCTCCACTGGCTTCCCATCACTGAACAGATCAACTTCAAGATCCTCACACTCGTGTTCAAATCCCTTCATTCTCTGGCACCTCCCTACCTCTCTGACCTCCTCACTCCCCAATTCACCACCCGGCATCTCCGCTCGACTGGCACCAGCCTCCTGTTTGTCCCTCAACAACAACAACAACAAAATTACATTTATAGAGCGCCTTTCACGTCAGGAGGATGTCCCAAAGCATCCCAAACCCTTCACACCCTTTGCCCCACCATCGGAGTTCACGCTTTCAGCCACTATAATAATAATAATAATAATCCTTGCATTTGATATAGCGCTTTTCACATAGGGAGGACATCCCAAAGCGCTTCACAGAATATACTGTAAAGTGAATTGACTATATATTTGTGGGCGAACGCGGCAACCAATTGCGCACAGCAATGTCCCACAAACAGTCGTAGATTGAAAATGACCAATTTATTATTGTTTTTGTTTTTTGGAGGGATTATTATTAGGCGTGTGGAGTAGGGAAACTTGCCCAAGGTTTCGCCCTGCTGGAATTGAACTCAGGTCTCTCACTTGCAAAGCGAGTGCTCTAACCACTGAGCTACAGGACTCCACTACGCCCTGAAACTCTGGAACATTCTCCCTCAATCCCTCTGCCTTGCTCCCACTCTCCCCTTTTTCAAGTCCCGCCTGAAAACCTTCTTCTTCGACTGTGATTACTGCCACCTCACCCCACTGGGTCGGAGTCAGGCTCTGCCATTGTTAAAGCCTCTAAGACGCTAGTTAATTTGTGTTGAGGGTGCTATATAAGTGCAAGTTGTTGTTGTTGGCATCTTAACATCCACTTGAACAAGTAGATGAAACCTCAGTTGAACATCTCATCCAATAGACAACATCTCCAACATTTCAACACAATCCCAGCACTACATTGGAGTGTCATCTTAAACAATATGAGTTCCAAGTCCCAATGTGGGTCTTGAGCCCACAAGTTTCTGACTCAGAGGCAAGAGTGCTACCAACTGAGCCAGGCTGACACATAAATCCGTAGCTACTTTCATGAATTCAAACTGGAAATGGTACTGAATAAATGGATTATGTTTTATACTGTCCCGGTGAATGAACAAAGTTCAACCAGCAGCCAAGCCATGATGGCTTGAGCGAAATATTTGAGCTGGATATCACCGCCATCCTTCCTAAGGAGGAGGGGCTGGGAGAAAAAAACTCATAAAGAAGGTCCTACCATCCCATTTGATCTCATCCCTGTAAATCCCCACCCTACTGTCTTCCCATAATAGCATCGAGCTTTTTCTGTAAAATGAGTCCAGCATCCTGGCTTTAACCACTCTTTGCTATTATGGTTGAATGTATCACCTTGAAGATAAAAGCAGAACACTTGTTCATCATCTGATAGACATCACCTGGCAGCGCACTGGCGTTAGCCTGTCTCACGAGAATAAAAGTTACAATTTCACTCCAGTTTTTAACAAGACATAGGGCTCAATATTTTTGTTATACGAAAAAAAATTGTCTTTTAAAATGAAAATTTTCTCATCGAATCCTCCACACATGACGAGCCCAGAAGCTTCCAATCATTGGACTCAGGAAATTAGCAAATTATAGATGAAGCGTGTTGAGACGTGATAAGGCACTGTACCAAGTGCAAGGATTATTATTATCATAATTCATGTGTATTTCCAATATGGTAAGTTCAATTGTTCCTATTCTCAAAGATAATAATAATCCTTGCATTTGATATAGCAAATTATCATGTCCTCCTAATGTCTCAAATCACCTCATAGGATAAACTGTAAACTGGTGTGACTGTGTATTTTGTTGGCAAATGCGGCAACTAGTTTGCACACAGCAATGTCTCACAAACAGCCATGGAGTGAGTGATAAATTTTATTTCAGGGTTTATTGGCCTGGACACCAGGAGAAACCCTAGAAATGTTGAAATCTTAGCATAAAAATAATACAGATAATAATCTAGAAATGATACAGTTCTTAATTTATGCTATTTGTTGAAACTGTGGATCTGATATAAATATGATGTTTGCTAGATTCAATAGTGGTAACTCTGTGCTTGTACACCAGCATTGTGCCTCAGCCTGCAGACTGTGGACGTGAGCCAGTGATTTGCGCACGGATGAGCTCCTTATGTCAGCTAGGTTGTGACATGAAGCTGCTATCCCATGGAAAGGGTCGGGTCGGGGAAGGAAAACAGTTGGAGAAGGAATAAAATACAGACCTCTCGTGTATGCCAAATGAGGCATTGGTGGGAACTTAAACAGGTCACACATCTGCCCTTTCAGTCTGGAACAGCTGTGTGGTGTGAAGAAGGCCAGCTGACCAAGGGAAATACTATACATAAATGAAGGACTCTGTATCTGGCTGTGATATACCTGACCTGGCATTGCTTGGAGACCAAAATGTCTCAGGGAAGACGCCATGAATTAATTATGTGAGTGCAAATCTTCAGTCTTGGCTTAGACCTACCCTAATGCTTCAGGAAGCAAACATTGTGCAAGAGCACAAATGATAAGCAAATGTGTTGGTTAACAAATATATACATTTTAATGAATTACTCTACAAGGAAGAAATTTGAAAGAATTTGTCACCACATCCCCTTCTGTAGCAAAATGCTGACTATTCAAGGATTGCCATCGAGAGCACTCTGGGATTAGCCAGCTGCAGGCACATCTCACATGGGACAAGGCAGATGGTCCGAGTCTTTCCCTCTCCTGAGACGGAAAGCTCATCCTTCCAGCTGTCTGACCAAGAACTATCCATCCTCACCCAACTGAATCAAATGCAATCTGAACGGGAGAAAAAAGCATTTATGCTCTGAGTTAATAATGATAATACTTGCATTTGATGTAGCGCCTTAACACGTCATTGATACGCTTCACAGAATATATTGTAAAGTGGATCGACTGTGTATTTTGTGGGTGAAATATTTTGAGATAGCCATAGAATTTTAGGGTTGGAGATTATTTTAAGATTCACAAGCATATTTTTTTTCTCATAATGCACTAAATCATGAAGCGCTTTGCACGAAGGTGTAAAATTTCTGTGTGTGCCAATGTGTTGTATTTTACATCTTTGTAAAAAGCAGATGTAAAATCAACCACAGATCCTATTACCCTTTAGTAAGAATTACCCTTTAGTGAGAAAGTCGTTCTAAAATCTCTGCTCTCTGTGGAATAAAGTGGTGAGGCACAGCAGAAAAATGTTTGCAGACATTCTCCTGATTTAACCAATGTACAGTGGCTGCTAGTGGTGGAAGAATTTGAGAAGGGACGTTCCCTCCAGGGCACACAGACATCACATCAGTTTTATTGATCGGTCTGACAGTGACCACTCACCGAGGTTTAGATTTAACGTTACTGTGTGAGCTGGGTGATATTGCAGGAGATTTGGAGTGTTAGTATCAACAAGAACACAATTACATTTGTATAGCGCCTTTCACGTCAGGAGGACGTCCCAAGGCACTGGATAGTCAGTGTTTTGGACCTGAGCTGGGGGTCAGGATTGGCGAGGGTGGAAGGCAGGCGAGGAAGAAGAGTGATTGAAAGCACGGTCGAAGAGGGGGGTCTTGAGATGGGTCTTGAAGGAGGCAAGGGAGGGGTGAAGCAGAGGAACTGCAGGATGGTGCTCCAGAGGGTGGGGGCAGAGTGGCTGAAGGCTCGCCTGCCAATGGTGGGACAGGCGAGGCGGGGGATGTGAAGCAAGTCAGAACTGCTGAGCTGAGAGAGTGGACAGGTTGATCGGGGGTTAGGAGGTCACAGATGTATGGGGTAGCAAGGCCACGGAGGGCTTTGAAGGTGAGGACCAGGATCATGAACTGTATCCTCAGTGTGATGGTAAGTCAGTACAGTCGGGTGAGGATGGGGATGATAGGGTCACGGAGCCTGGTGCGGGAGAGGCCACGGGCTGCAGAGTTCTGGATGATCTGCAGCCTATGGAAGAAGGAGTTGGGGAGGCCGGCAAGCAGGGAGTTTGCATAGTCAAGTAGCCTGGATGTTATGAATGCGTGTATGAGGGTTTTGGCGGTCTGCGGTGTGAGACAATGGCGGAGCTGGGCAATGTTGCAGAGCTGGGGGAAGGCAGAGCAGGTCATGGCACGGATGTAGGGATCACATTGATTACTGGAGCCAGCTTGTGTGGCTGCGATACTCACAGCCATCTCTCACACACCCACTGGAGCATCAGCCACTCAGTCATGTTTCGGGTAATGTCTCTAGTCATCATTGTTTAGAAGTACAGATCACTGCTGATCATTGTTGGTTTGCCCAAAGCCTTGAAATCGATTGACTGAACCTAGTTAACTGTCCACACAGCTAGAATGTATTGTCAAAAAGTTATGGAATCTGGTCTCTCTTTGTTGGTACATTTGCCGACTTTACATCTACCGTCTCTGGTGCTTAGCCAGCTGTGTGAAGTGCTTTGTGACGTCCTTCTGATGTGAAATGTGCTATACAAAACCAAACTGTATTTTATTCTACTTTGGCTGTGTGCACTTAAAGAGGTGAAACATATGATGACTGCTCTATGACTGCTCCAATTATACTGAATCTGTTGTGAAATGTCGTATTTGTTTAACCCCAAAATACTTTAGCCTCGGCTGTTAGTGCACATGGAGCTAACTCATGTGCAGGGACCAGACCCACATCTACAATGGTCTCTCTTGTAGCAAAATGTCAAGTTAGAAAATGCGTTCCAGTTTATGAACTCAATGCAACATTCAGGCAACATCGTATTGGGCTGAGGTAGCAGCGAATACAGATACTGTCCACATCCTTTAGGGGTTGTGAGGGTGCAAATACATGTAATGACATTCAATTATAAATTGGTCACTTCAATCCACGACTGTTTGTGGGACACTGCTGTGCGCAATTGGCTGCCGCGTTTCACCAACAAAATATACAGTCAATTCAAAAAAGAAAATAGGAGGAGGAAAGGTAATTAAACCGAAGGCTAAATGTATGTGTCATCACTGTGGTACAGATGTTCCGATGAGCTCTGCTCAGTCAGGACCATGTGTGCACTTTACAGCAGTGATTGCCACAAGTCATTGCAGGAACTGCCTCAGAAAACAATCAATTCAGTTAATTCTTTGCTGCTGGAACCATTCACAGCAGCAGCAAAATGCATTGAATACACCTATGGCTTTCAAATACTTTATATTTTAATCATTTTTTTCTATATTTTCTACTTTGGACACTCAATCCATGACTTTGGTCACTCAATCCACGAATATTTGTGGGGATACTGCTGTGCGCAATTGGCTGCCGGGTTTCACCTACAAAATATACAGTCAATTCACTTTACAGTATATTCAGTGAAGCACTTTGAGACGTCTTGAAGATGTGATGAGGCATTATATCAAATGCAAGGATTATTATATTATTTGTGGAGTCCCGTAGCATAGTGGCTAGCACATTCGCCTCGCAAACGAGAGGATCCGTGTTCAATTCCTGGGCGGAGCAAAGCCTTAGGCAAGTTTCCTTACTCAACACATGTGTGTTTATCTAACAATAAGTAGGGGAACCCTGGTTATTAGTCGGTTGGTAAATTGCTTTCTGGGGGTAATAAGCCCTAAAAAAAAATTGGTTACTCAATCCACGACTGTTTGTGGGACACAGTGTGAAAATCAATAAGTACTGAAAATGAAGAACCTTGGAAATATGACTCTTTCCAGAGGGATTGTTCTGATCAATTCTCATTGTCACGTTCACATCCTCCACTCTCAAGGTCATCCAGTGACTTGGTTTTGTGTCTCCTCTTAGTTGTGGTGGCCAGGTGAAATTTTTGTCTATAGAAATGGGATCTCAGCACTCACTGGTTCTGAGTAGTTCTAAGGTCCCATTGGGTTATAGCCCTTGTGTACCAGGTATGAAAAGCTTTGTCTTGTTCTCCAATACTTCAATGGCCATCTCCAAATCCTCACTGAAATCAACTTTCCCTACTTGACGTATAGCCGCTACCATTTTCTGCTACTTTTATCTGTAAGTGCCAGCCTTGAGACTGCCTCACAAGCGAGGCCACATTAATGTAGAATTCGGAGCCCATTTAAATGTCAGGCACAATTAATTTTCAACTCAACTCAAAGTGCACTGACCCAAGGGAATAAAATTAAAAAAACGCATTGTCTCCCAGTTGCATTATGCATCAATATGTGTTGGACATCACACGTTCATTGATGTATAAATAAATTATACTTTTTTTATATAAACTTTGCAGACATTTGCTTCAGGGATTCCCTTCACTATATTTAGGATGGAACATATTTTCAATAAATTTGTTCATACATTAAATCAAAAGAAAATTTTATTTTACTGGTAACATCGTGGTGCTGTGAGCAGCCTACCAGATGCAATATAGTTAACATGTAACTTTGCTGCACTACAAACAAATTAATTTGTTTCTCGGCCTTCCCAAGTCCTCCCTTCCCAGGCTGCAGATAATCCAGAACTCGGCAGCCCATGTCCTCTCCTGCACCAAATTCCATGACCCTGTCTCCCCCATTCTCACCCGACTCCATTGGCTCCCTATCCTTCAGAGGATCCAGTTCAAGATCCTGGTCCTTACCTACAAAGTCCTCCACGGCCTCACCCCACCCTACCTCTGTGACCTCCTCTGTGGCATTCAGCCACTCTGTCCCCAACCTCTGGAATTCCATCCCCCAATCACTCCGCTTCACCCCCTCCTTAGCCTCCTTCAAGTCCTGCCTCAAAACCCTCCTCTTCGACCATGCCATTGGCAACCCCTTCCCCTCCCCACCCCTCTCTCCCCTTGACCCCAGCTCGGGTCTGAAATGCTGCACACTTTCCACGCCTTGGGACGTCCTCCCGGCATGAAAGGTGCTATACAAATGTAATCTTGTTGTTGTATTGTTGTTGTAGACACTGAGCTGCAACACAAATAATTCCTTCCTCACTACTCCCAACAACAGTAAAAATTCTCACTAAATGTACAGTTTTATGAATCACAATAGCTCCAAACTATCTATGCACAGAATACATGATGGTCAATAACCTCTCTGGTAAGTCTGCAGTCATCACTACACAGGTAAGTTATGAGCTCTGGTAAGTTTATGAAGTCTGGTATGTTTATGAGGTCTGCTTCATTATGGAATAAATATTATAACCTGACAAGTGTTGTTCCTGACAAGTATTCTTCATGATCTATATTTAAAACATTTATTTCACCGTCTGTAACCATATTGTCACAAGTTATCCCAGTTCCAAAAAAAACCTGTGATCAACTTCAGCTTGCGAGATAAATATGGTTGCTTGCAGTATATGTTCCTGCCTGCAGTTTAGTGAATGGGACTAATGCATCACATGTTTGACAGCACATGTGAATTTATGCCACAAATTGGTCAGCTATACCTGCTGCTGATGCTGTTCCATCTGCAACTATCCATTGCTTCCAACCTCTCCAATTTATAATCCACTTCAGAAATGTATCAATAGGGGGAGGGGGTGCTATGTTATAATAATAATCCTTGTATTTGATATAGCGCCTTATCACGTCTTCTAGACATCTAAAAATATTCACAGAATATACTATAAAGTAAACTGACTGGGAGAAACACAACGGATAATTGAGCACAGCAGTGTCCCACAAACAGTTGTGGATTAAGTGAAAAAAAAATTTTTTGATGGGTTATTATTATTATTATCCCAGGGAAAGCGATCCACCAATCGACTAACAACTGGGTTCCTACTTACTGCTAGGTAAACGGAGGTATGTGGAGTAAAGAAACTTGCCCAACATTTCGCCCTGCCAGGAATCAAACCCAGGTCTCTCGCTTGTGAGGCGAGTGCTCTAACCACTGAGCTACAGGACTCCACATGTTGATGTTGACATGTCATTGGGGTCAGGATTCTTTTCACTTGGTTCCTCATCAGCCTGAAATGTAACATTCTAATAGGTACGGTTGTGCCTTGGCTTCTGCTAACTGCGAATGTATCCTCTTGGCTTACGCTAGCAGACTATCTGGGTGTGTGTATTTTGTGATAGGATAATAATAATAATAATCCTTGCATTTGATATAGCGCTTTTCACGTCGGGAGGACGTCCCAAAGCGCTTCACAGAACACACTGTAAAGTGAATTGACTGTATATTTGTGGGCGAACGCGGCAGCCAATTGCGCACAGCAATGTCCCACAAACAGTCGTAGATTGAAAATGACCAATTTATTATTGTTTTTGGTTTTAAATATTAGGATATTATTCCCTAACTTTGAAAGGCAACTAGGCAAGAATTCCAGGAGAATAGATGGTGCCTGCTAAGGAGATATGGAAGAGGCCTTGCTGGTTAAGCAGATTTTACTATCTTCTTTTCCTAGTGACGAATCACCAGCTTTGAGTCAGTGTGTTTGTTTCACTGACTGCTCAGATGCGATTGTAGGAATCGCAGCTACCAGTCAGACCATGTCTTACATGGTGTAACACAGTGGGGGACACTGGCAACATGGTGTTCGGAAAGACAATGGTTGCTTTGATTGAATAATAAACACAAGGCATCAGACAATGAGTTCTGCACATCATGTTAGAAACGGAGACGGTAAGATGGAGACGATCATCTAATAGCAACAAAAGCAATGGATTATCCGTCCTTCGGATAAGATGTTAGACTGAGGTCCCATCTGCCTGTTCAGGTGGAAGTTAAAGATCCCATTACACTCTTCGAAAAGAGAAGGGAGTTTGTCCCAGTGTCCTGGCCACAATCCCCCAAAAACAAAATTGATCACTCAGACCATGGTTGTTTGTGGGACAATGCTGTGTGCAACTGGCTGCCATGTTTCGCTCACAAAATACACAGTCAATCGACTTTGCAGTATATCCCATGAAGCGTTTTGAGACGTCTCAACGATCTGATAAGGCGATATATCGATTGCAAGGATCATTATTATAGTTCATCACATTTTGGTTTGGCAAAAATTATCATATACAAAGACGTCAGCAAGGTTGCCATTGACAACTGCCAGCATGAAAGTGACCCCTCGAGGATTACGAATGGAATATTGTCCTAATTCATGTTGAATCCTGGATCAACTCACTGTGAGTCGACTCACAAAGAATATTTTTGAGGCTTGTTTATGATGTGGCTATAAATAAATAATCTATCAAGAAATATTTATATGGTTGGAAGACCAAAAAGGTTGGCCACTACTGTCTTACAGGATTTATTGAGAAAGTTTAGTGACTGTGTATTTTGTGGACAAATGCAGCAGACATTTTATGCGCAACAAAGTCCCCAAAACAACCATGAAATGAATGACCAATTTTATTTGGGTGATTGGTGGCTATGGACCGGCGAGAAAATCCCTCCTCTTTTCAAATGGTGCCACGAGATCTTTAACATCCTCCGTATCCAAAAAGAACTGTGGGAACTTGGATCTCAAACAAAGACTGGGTTGAAGAATTTGCTAAAAAAAAGCACAATCTTAATTTCGAGAAATATATATACATGTAATCTAGTGGACAAGTGATGTCCAGGCTATTATAGACTTCCTGATTCACTCAAAATATCCACATTCATCACCAAATGCACAATTTAGCTGTTTAAAGGAATGGCCATTTGGACGAAAAATCTTCCATTGTTGTCAGCTAAATTCACCCATTACGTGAAATGGTTTGACCCAGGAAGACATACTGGGACCTCTGAGGGAAAAGACTTGTTACATAATAAATGAACGCCCTACTTTTCATCTAAGTGATGATTAAAAAAGCTAGGACTCTTCAGTCTTGTGAGAAGATGACTCAGATGCAAGTCCGTAGAGGCACATACAATATTATATGGGATTGAAAATAGTAAACCCAGAACAATACTTTAGGATCCACTAAGACAAAAGAACAAGAAGACCTAGGTTTAGAATTGTAAAAGACAATATTAGGACAGATAATACAATTTATTTATTTACTCAGAGGGTAATTAACAATGGGTGTTTGTGGTACATTGCTGAGTGCAGGTTGGCTACAATATACAACAACAACAACAAAATTAAATTTGTGTAGAACCTTTCATGTCGGGAGGATGTCCCAAGGCGCTGGACAGACAGAGTTACTGACAGTCACTACACTTTATAGAAAATCCTGTGGTACGTTTCCTGAGGTGAAAGGAACCATATCAAATGCAAAGATTCTTGTTATTATTTTTTTAAAGCAAACCACTGCTCAGTTGAAATCACTTTTAAAAGAACAGTTCTCTAAAGGTTGTTCAGCATTACTATGAGATCGGTATCAGCAATTAAACCTCTGACTTTACTTTGCACAACAGGATTACACTCAATTAATCAATCAATAGATAAAGGAAATAAACAAATAAAGCTTTTCGCTGAGCTAGTTCCTACATTATACAGACTTCCTTTCTGGTACCTTATGATTAGCAATTTAGAGAACTCATTCATTTATATTCAGCTCAGAATTAATATAGGTTTAAGAAGATTACTTTTTTAAAACAAAGGACTTTCACTGCACAGGATGTATTCAGCTCAGGTTGCCTCACCCAGTAGGCAGCTTCAGGTTGTGTCCACAGCTCCTATTCTGATTGATGACAAGGCAGGTCAACCATGACCTTGGATTGCCATAGATCTACCTTTATCTTCTCACTGCCAGTACAACATTAGTGACAGCTTGCCAACTCCCTCCCACACCCCCCACCTCCCCTCACCACGCACAATATTTTTAGACATGGTGCTCGTCTTATCAACCTTGAAAGAGTGAAAAGTCCCACTGGGATTTAAACCCACGACCTTGTCCATGCTCAACCAACTATGTTATCCAGGACATCTCAAACATTTCTAAATGTGTGCTTCCCACTAACTTGACCCCTCGAAACAGCATCGCTGCTTTGTGAAATCTCCAGGTACATCATGGCGTTAGATTATAAAAAGAATAATAATCCTTGCATTTAATATAGCATCTTTCAAGTTGGGAGGACTTCTCAAAACACTTCACAGGATTTCCTGTGGAGTGTAGATGAACGCAACAAATAGTTTTGCGCACAGTAGCATTCCACAAACAGCCGTGAAATGAATACCCAATTTTATCTGGAGGCTAGAAAAGCAGGAGATATTCTATTCTCTTTTCAACTAGTGCTGTCGGATCTTTAACGTCCACCTGAAAAAGCAGACTGGATCTCAGTTTAACAGCTCATCTGAAGCACCACACCACTAGCAATGAAGCACATCTCAGCACTACAATGGAATGTTATCTTAGACTACACAAGTTCAAAGTCCTGGGCCTTGAACCCACAATCTTCTAACTCAGGGGCGAGAGGGCCACCAACTGAGGCACATTTCTAGATTAGTAGCACCAAAACCTGAGCAGAAATCTCTGGCATTCTTGTTTTTAAACACGGTTTCCAGGATTCGTTGTAATTTTTGAAAGTTGTCCAAACAGAAATAATAATTCAAAATCAGCTGCAATTGGTGACATTGTACTGGGTTTCACACACACATCTCGACATAACAACATGGTAAAGTGTTTTGAAAGACACCGAGGTCGTGATGAAAATATTCTCTTAATGTTCCAATTTTCCTACTCTCACATTGTGATATCAGGATGACTAATCTAGTGCACAGTTACAGCTCACTGTTGATGCTCGATGACTTTCAGCACACATCATAACCATTTGCCAAATGATTTTCAATTGATTTCTTCCCTCATTTGTGTCTCTTTCAATCTGATGTTTTTATTGTACCTTTACTGGAGGTAGCCAACAAAAGATACAATTTGCTTTCCCCCTTCCCCTTGGTGTAAACTCACAGTGGCACCTGATACCACGCGCATAGCAAGCCTTTGGTAACCAAAATGCTCAATCCTTACCCACAAGAAGATGGTGGCAATGCTCTCACACATTTCATGTTGAGTTGTGTTGCCCACCAGGAAGCTCACAGAGAGTTCCTGGTACCTACCCTCCACCTAGTGAAGGCTTGTCATATGTTGGTGGGGGGGGCCCTTGGAGCTGAACTGGCTACAAACTGACATGTTTGGCACCGAAATGTCAGAATGAAGCCAACCCTCTGTGGCGGTCTTGGTAATCTGGTTTCTAAACC